TTCCCAAACCTTTGAAATTCAGAATTTGAGTCAATTTCTTTAAAAAGTCACCAGAGATACTAAGATAGAAGGGCGGAACCTGACAGCACTGTCAGTGAAGCTTAGGATACTCAGGAAAGAACAGAAGAAGACATAAGGCAGAAACAGTTGTTTGCCAAAAACAACAACATTGGATTTGGTTTATGACATCCAATTCAATGAAATGATCCAAAACTAAGGTTACCTAAATTTAAGGATCAACTCTATTGCTTTGCAATACTGGCTTCCTGGGCTTAAAAGTAGCCATTCACTTTCTTAATATGTCTCCCCATGCTTGTTACATTGTTACAATTAATTTCTCCAGTTTGTCCAGTGATAGTTTTAAAAAACAATGGTGACTTTAGATAGACACATTTATTGTCTGATTTTTTATGTTTATCACAACACTAAAATGATGCTTGAGGTACAAGTTAATTACAAACAAAATAAAGTTAATAAAAAAAAAAGGTATAAACAAAAACATAAAAAACTGGTATACATATGGTAATAGAAACAATCATTCAAAAATATCTAAGGAGAAAATAGGAAAAAGGGGTAATGAGGTAGGGGTAAGGACTATTTAGTAACCTAATCTCTTGAGTAGCCACTTTAGCATAGCTTCTAACGTTATTGCAGTTTGGTGATTTAGGTCCATTTGCATGGTGTGTTTGAACAGATTAGTGGATTTGATAACGTCAGTGGTATAATATTTTTTTAACAAGCCTTTTTTAACCCCAATCCATTGAAGGTAACCTGTAGACATATTCAGGTGGCCATATCGTTCATTTTATGCTCAGAGTGTCTGGCGATCCCGAACAATGGGCAATCTAAGGAATACTAACCACACTACTACTAACCTGGTCTCCTCTCACCCCCTAAATACTTTTCCATTGACCAGTGAGGTCTCCTGCAGCACTTGACAGTAAAAAGGATTAGAGTAGGTTAAAGGAAGTGGGCCAATTTTCAACCTGGAAGGTGTGTGGTGAATAATTGTTTAAAATAGCACCATCCCTTAAAACTTTAAAGACAAACTTGGCTTGCTTTATGCATTCAGGTAGTTAGACATGACAAAAGAAAAACATGAACAGTCTATAAATTATTTAAAAGAGAGCAATAGGGTGAGTGTTTTTCCCCAGAGTTCTTTTAAAGGTCACGGGAGGACATATACTAGCGTCCTCTCATGGCCCAAAGCTCAGTTTATCGCAAGCTACAGCTCACAGTATACTGAGACCGCCGCATCCGGGACAAATACCGACATTACTTTCAAGATCCACCCAGCTGCGTGAGTGACAATTGGCTCTGCTTATCTAGAGGCAGAGCCAGCTGTACCCGCCTCCTCCCCTGTCCGTTCCTCCAGTCAGAGAGGGGAGGGGGGAATCCCTGCAGGGAGTCGTGACTGACAGTCACTGCTCTCTGCAGGGAGATGATAAAGAAGTGAGCGAGCGACAGTATGCGTTCGTTCACTTCCCGTTCTATTGAGCCGACGTGTGACAGTTTAATTGTCACAGGTCGGCTCGAACTATGAGGATACGTGATTTTCACTCACCTCATAGTTCTCCTTTAAGGAGTGTCTTTTACTAGCCTCTAGGTTTCTTATGAAAACTATAGCCTGCTCTTCTCTATTATGTTCTCTGAATATTCAAGTTAATTGAAAACATTTGTTGTTGCTTTTTTAATGACAGCATACTTGGCTGCTGTGCTATAATTTTTATGCTCCACATATGTGTCATCTCTTAATGCTTGATGGTGTGTTTACTAAGGAGAAGATGGATAACAAATTCCATAGCTTTCTTCATCAGTCAGGGCAAATTCAGAATGAACAGCAGGCGCCTATGACTATCTTGGGAAGAACATATTGCTAAGTCTTTCAGATGCTTATTCAACATGTGTGGGAAGTTGAATGTTGGCTATAAAAACAGAAAAACGTCATATCCATTCAACACGCTGAGTCCCTAGTAAGTGGGTTCTAATAAACTTGTATTAATGTTATTAAGTTAACCATTTTGGTACTGATACCACCATACACAGATATACAGTATTTAACAAAGCATAGAACGCAAACCACTGTTTATAATAACCCTTTGACTACCAAAGACATGTGCCATAACATATTTTGTAAATTATCTTCACTGGGGAAGTAAGAAAGTAAAATATTGTGAAAGATTGTTGAGCCATAGCAGCTAATGCAAGGTTGTAGCAATACCAGTTGGTTCTACACTAAGAAGATGCTTAAAGTGCAGGTAATACTTGGGCACTGCTAAAGGTCTGATGATTATACATGATTGATCAAACTTTAACAAACACTGCAATGAGATCTATAAAAGATAAAATCACGATTCCTTGCTATTGACAATTTAAAACAGATAAACAGCTCCTGATACATTTATATTCGTCTTACCTTTCATCCTCTTCATTGTTTGCTGTGATTCTTTGAAAAGGTCATCTGCATCTTTCTTTATCTTTGCAACCAGCTGTCCCTGAGCTCCGATGTTAGTTGTTTGCCCTAGGCGACTCTTCACCAGGGCATATTTTTCCATCACAGCATCTAGACCCTTAATGACAAATATATTGATGATTTTCCCGCGTTTCATAAAATCCACAAATGTAAAGACTGTTAATTAAGCTGATTTATGGCTGTTGGATATTTGTAAATATCAGAAGATTTTGTTTTAAATGCTATTTTTTAGATAGGTAAAAATAAAATATAACCAAAACCATCATATGATCCCTTGAAGTATTTCAGTTTTAAAATTAAAATTTGCTTTATGATACCGTAGGTAACATCTAGAACTGTTAATTGTGCAATACCCTGGAAATGTACATTTTTTCTTGGATTCCTCCTGTAAAAAAAAGCAGTGCATTTCCTGGTATGTGAGGATGCCTAGACACTTACTGTATGTGCATAAAACCTCATAGCTACAGTGTGAGGCCTCATAGCCTCACAGCCACAGTGTGATATCTAAGGCACTGCTGCATCTGACTGCTAGTTTCAGGAGAATTGGAGGGATATTTGGTAATATAACTACTGTGCTGCTCACTGTTTTCCTTGCTGAAGGCTCTGATATGAGGAAGCCCTGTCTCTACCAAAAGATGTCCGCTTCCACACACAGACACATACAGAACAAGGCATTGTAAGTCAGTAATGGGGTAAGATCAGCTGCAGGGAGACCACAGACAATACTGGTGACCAGTCCTTTGCCCTCTCCCCGCCTTATGTTGGACATAGCTTCCAAAGTTCAGTTAACTATTTATTCTTGTAAAATCAACAGGTAAGGTGTCCAGTGGCTGGTGTATTAGAAATTGCTCGCAGAAAGAAAATCACTTTTTATACTTCATAGAATTGTGTTTTACAGTATTTTTCTATCTAAACCATGTTTATTAAAGTAGATCTAAACCCAATCACTAAAATCACATATGGGCTTTAAATAGTTATTTTATGTTGATAATTTGTTTCCAATATTTATAAATCTGCAGCTTTCATTAAAAGAATACCTAGTTCTTATTCCTTAGGTCCTTATTCAGGCACTTCCTGTTATGCAGTAACAACTGTCTTTCAATTGTGCTCCTGCGATGTGCCCCTGACTAACCCTACAAACGGCCTTGTCAACACAAATTGCACTGACATGGCACACTATTCTCACTATCATTAAGATATGACAGAGCAATGATGTGCAGTCTATGCTGGAATGAGTACATGTGCAAATGAAGTGGCCATAATGGATGTAGGAAATCAGCAACACTGAGATGCATAATGTGCATGATACACAGTGCTTCAGCAAACTAAATATCATTCAGTTATGGTTTAGAGCTACTTTAAAATATATTTATATATAGTATATAAGGTGTCTTTTACAACCTTTTAATAAATATAAGCAGTACCTGTTGGGCATCCACAGCCTTTCTTTGAGCTCCTTCTGCTGCACGTTTGGCCTGACCTGCCTGTTGTAGACTTTCTGCAGTTCTGTCACGCAGGTTCTCTGCTTGCTGTGCAAAACCTTGTAGCTGATCATGCATGTCATCCATCCCTTTCTTTACAGGGTTCAGCACTTGCCCAATCTGTGAAAATAATTCATTTTGGTTTGTTCTCTGCAGTACATTGCGATACAACGTTCTTGCTTATAAAGTGATGCATTTAAATTCATAGTCATTAAAATGAACTGTTCCTGCAAAACAAAATATTCTTACACAGAGCTATTCACAAAGATCAGTAACCTATTGCAACAAGTCAGAAGCCCTATTTCAATGGTCTCACAACCTCTCCTATACGTTGCTGTGGGGTACACGGCACGGTCATAACCCATTGCAACAAAGACTCATTTGCTGCAGGGACCATTCTGGAGGTGCTTCCCCCTGGCTATGGCTGTTGTGGATGGTGATAGTCTACATGTATATGTCAATGCAACCATGCAAGAATAGTAGTAACACAGCGATCCCTGAACTTACCAGAAATCAGCTCCCACACAGGAGGTCCCCTGTGCTCAGTTGTGGCTCCCATATATTTTTTGGCATGTTAACTGAGGCTCCTACAAACCTATACGTGGCTCCTACATGTCAAACAATCTACCTAAGAGAGCCCCAAATAGGTTATTAGTAACTAAAGACTTTCTGTTCTGTAAGATGCTGATATGTGCAGGGATGTCTGGATGTTAGAAGAGATCAGTAGCACTGCCAATAAATGCTGGGCCCAAGTTCCACTTCCTATGTATGCACAGGAGAACCCCAAAGACTTCTATGGAGCTGAAGAACAGATCAATCTATCAGTCTATGGGGTTCAACTGCACACGCACAGACTCTGGGAAGTAAAAGACACACTAGCCTAAGGTAAACATTGTGAGAGAACACCAGTGGACTCCAGAGCCAGAAGTGAGTAAGTATACAGTGAAGGAGGGGGAGGGTGTGTTAGATCAGCACAGTGGGAGGAGGGGAAAGGGTAAGAAAATATTCAGAACATTATTTTTAAATGTTTCTTTATTATTTAAGTTAAAATCAATCATAAGGCTATTATAAAGGTATTTTTCAGTATTTTATTGTTCTTTTAACAATAAAAGCGTACAACCTATTAATCTCTGAACTGTTAAAAACATATTTGCTAAGATCTCAAACATAGAATATAGTAACTGGAAAACCCATGACTCTGAACCTTCCTGTCACCCAGCACACTTGACAATAAACCCCAACACTCCAGGCACTGCATCAATTTGTCAACCAGCACCCCCCTTTCCACCCAGCAACTTTGCTACTGTAACGTTATATGCCACCACTGCCCCCATCCCTCCTACCTCTCATGACCTTTGCATGAAAGGGGTAAGAGAGCCTGAGCATGTGATTTCTGAGGTCTCTGCCCACTTCCTCCTCCCTCTGGTGACCTCACCTCCTCTGGCCTCTGGGGTCGCTGTGTACATTGTGTGCATTCCAGGGAAAAGGGGAAGAGTTGAACACTTCTAGACTGAAAGGAAGAAGGAAGCCAGACATATACAGTATATTTCCATTGATATGGAAATCTTCCAATTAGGCAGCTATCAAAGCTCCAAATGTATTCTTTACTTTACCTTAAGGTAATTGTTTTATTTACAATGCACCACTATTTATCACCTTCTATAATATTATTTTGAACACCATGCATTTTCCATATCAGGTTAAAACTGAAGGGGAAATGTAAAACTCCATTTTACTTGTTTAGGATATGTATATCTATCTATCTATCTATATATATATGGATTTCTAGCCATGGCTGCTTTTGATATTCTGTGAGATATACAGTAATTAAGTTTCCACATAATCATTACAGTATCTCACCTCTAGTACGCGATCCTGGATCTGCTGTAAAGACAAACTGGAACCACGTATTTTATCTTCCGCTTCTTTGAGTGCTTTCTTTGCTACTCCTATATTCTCTACCACACCATCCACATTGTCTTCAACAGTCTTTGCTTTGTTCCTAAATGACAATAATAAAATAGAAGTGTTATAAATTTACATTGATTTGCAAGCCCATATTGATTAGCCCATATTCATAAAATCTGGGTCATAATATGAAGCATGGCAAACCTAAGTAATTTGCAAAGAAGCATGATGTATACATAGTTCTCGATATTCAGTCAATCATAATTGAGTTAGTGTGCCACCCACATAATGCAGTATACAATCAAAAGTCTGTTCTGAAACATTATTTCACAGGGAAAATAACACAGTTGTCATGGCAATAATGACATATATTCCAGGCCAACTCTATCATTAATATTTGAAGTATGGCATCCTAGAGTGAATGGATGTAAAAGCCTTTCCTAGCTACCCACAGGTGAAAACATAATGCCTTCTTTATTACTTTAAAATTTACATATATTTGAAATTTTATTTTTAGTAAATGCCACAAGTAGTATAATCCCTGTGCAGCCTTTGTTGCTGCAGAGAGGTTCAAAAGGGTAGAGAGCAGCTACATGAGGTCTGGTGATTAGGACATATGGTGCTAAATTTCCCTGTAGATCATTTATGTTGTTTTAGAGAGGGAACAATACCCAAGACAAAAATGTAATTGTTTAAGGTTTATAGCATGATTTTGGTACACTAAGAGAACAGTCTACCAGTGGTACAGTTAATGCTAGTGAGGGTATTACTAGGAAGAAAGAGGTAGTACATACTATGTGGCATCTCATGTCACAAATGGGCATATTTACACAAAAACATGTGTACAGTCAAAATGTGGCCACATCAACATATTATGGGTGTCCTGTGTGTTTTTGACAGAGACTCATGTTTGTGATGATCGTAGGGTGTGCAGAAACGTTCCCTTTGTAGGAAGGCCCACTACAATCATTGTGTTCCACTGTGGGTTTAATAAAAGAAAACCAGTACATCTAAAAAAAGCTACAGTCTTTATTCATTTTGTACAAGGTGCAAGAAAAGGTTTAATTATATAAAATACACAGTCCTTTTTAAAGATCCTAGGGCAGTGGTGGCGAACCTTGGCACTCCAGCTGTTTTGGAACTACAAGTCCCATGAGGCATTGCAAGGCTTTGACAGCCACAGACATAACTCCCAGAGGCAGATGCATGTTGGGATTTGTAGTTTTGGAACAGCTGTAGTGCCAAGGTTCGCCACCACTGCCCTAGGGTATTAAACTCCGTTCAGAGGTCAAAAAGAGTTTAATACAGTGCATGATCTTCTCTGAGATGTAGGCGGCTTGATAATGTTGATAATGTTGATAATGTGCTTCCTCCTTTTCCTTTTCTATTCCTTTCTATTGGTAATCATAACACCCTCGCTGCTTAAACTGAACATGATTATTTTTATGCTAAACCCGTTACCATATTTAATGCCCTCCCTGTTGCTACTACCGGTATGTGCCCAGTTAGTTGCAATATACCCACTTCCCTGCCAGAAGGAAGGGTCTTAATTTTGAGTTCTGCTCCTCCTTCTGATATCTACCTTAATATTTATTTAAAATAATAATAACAGGGGTCATGTGTGGACCTTTAGTGATATAATTTATGTTGATTTCCCCTTAAAATACTTTACACACCTGGCATCTTCGGCATCACTTTGTAGTTTCCTTGCTCTGGCTATATCTTCTCTAGTCTGTGACAACACTAATTCCATATTTGGCATCTTCTCTGCTATGCTGCGGATTTCATTCATTTTTCTTTGGAGAGATAATGCATCCACAGGAAGTTTGAGGGACAAAACATATTCACTAACTTCTTGGATAGTGGCTGGATCTGTTGAGGGTTCTAAGAGAAAAATAAACAGAGTAAGCCATTTATTTTGATAGAATAATAAAGGTATTAAAGCAGATTTACAAGAAATATTAAAAATAAAAACTCAATCTGCCAGATATTCCCCCTATTTAGTAACATGGCAGGATTCCCACCTAACATAGTCTAATATAACAACAGTAAACCTATTTTGTGTCTTGCTTGTAGGGTTGCCACCTGTCCAGGATTCACCAGGATTCAGATGGACAGTTTGGGTTTTGAATGCTGCGTCCGGGTTTCATGGCAGCAGAAACCCGGACACAAGGCAGACAGGGGAAACCAAAATTAAGATAGGGACTACTGCCCCCACACTGAAAATAGTCTATACTGTGATATTTACATATGAATGGGCGGCACTTTTTACATATGAACAAGCCAGGACTCATTCTCCCAAGAAAATGACCAAGCGTCGCTGGAGTGTTCGGGTTTCGCTTGAAGAAAAGGTGGCAACCCTACTTGCTTTCCGTACTAGGAGGACTGGGGTCTGACCCACGGCTTGTAATACAGAGGCACTGTATTTTATGGTTTTGCTGTAATGTCAGTTTTATCATCTGCAAGATGCACTGCAAGGAAATTCTGTGATGGAGGCTCCTAAAAAAATCTGTGAGCTGTGTTACTTCACATGCCAAACAAATAGGACCTGCCCCAGTTTTCCATTATATAAAACTGTAAAGTCAATTAGTATCTATTAACCACAGTGTAGCTAAGTGTTTACACTGGACCCCTTGGTCCTGTAATGGTTGTCTGTTGTTACACAGATAGTGCCTACACTACTAATGGAATAATATACCTGCTTTGGTGTCCTCAACTGGAATTTATTTAAGTAGAAATTAAAAAAATATATATTGTTGGGTGTCACAAAATACAGGGCAGTGTAAAATAACAAGCTATTAGAAACATATTCTTTATAACTTAATTTGGTATTGAAATCTTTATACTTTGTGCTTCACCTTCATCCTATAGGATAAGCATGTACTCCAAAAGCTGGCAATGATACAGCATTTAAATCTTGTCTGAAGCTGTAATGATCTGACAGTAATACCTTGCACACCTCTGATCTTCCTGTCATATTGTCTCCTGTCACATGCACGTGGAAGCAGTAAGTTCAACTCAGAGGCATTTAAATAACTGTTCAGCATAAGTGAATTTAAAAAAAATGTGTTTGGTACAAACTAAACAGCATATTAAATACAATTAATGCTGCTGTATTTACATGGATGTAAAATATGGACGTGAAGTAAAATTCAGGGACTGCCCATTGAAAACATGTGATAAATGTCTATCTAATATCTATAAAAATGAGGTGCATAGAGCACTGGTGACACACTAGAAATCTGACTGAGGATCTACCTCCCCTCCCCCTGCTAGCCATAAGAAACGGTTTTGGATGGAGTTCCACTTATAGTGTAAAATATGATACTATGATGGCTGTGGTTAACCAGGCTTGCAACTTTAACTATTGCAACTTAAAGTGATATTGAAGTCAAAAGGATTTTAAGCTGTTTCAAATGCTGATAAAATCACTTACAATTAATGCTGCTTTGCTTGATTTATAAAAGTTTTAGTTTCCTGCAGAATCAGATGGTTCCCTGAGCACTGTCCCTGACATCCTGTTTTAGAGTGACTCCTTTCTCAAGCAGAGTGCTGTGCAGTCACCCTTGTGGGTGCGAGTAGGCTGTGTGTGTCTCCACAAACACAAACACACAGCAAATCCAGCTACTCCCCTCTGGCCCCCTTTCCTCCCTTCTCCAAGCTAGTAGATGAACACTGGAGTTACTGGAGTCTGCACTGTCCTTTGTGATCTTGTACTGGACAGAAAGTTCAGGGAAGCTGAGAGACTTGAAAGCAGCTGTTCAAAAACATGATGATTGTAGGTGTTTTGTCAAAAATGTAAACCAATGCTTTACAGGGCAATGTATATTTGTTTGATTTTCATTCATTATTGAAAAATGTTAGAGAGTTTAATACTACTTTAACCTGCAATAGTTAAGTTGTATCAGGGCTTGAGTTGGTACTGGTTACATCTGGGTACATTTGGTACATCCACAACTACTGTGCTGCCGGACGGTTTAAGACTTCTTTTGGTTACCACCTGCCCCATGAATATGTGTGATCTTCCCAGCTGTCAGGGCTACTGTATATAATCTGGGCAGAGGAATTTGTGATATAATATATCCAACAGTGGGTTTAATAAAAGAAAACCAGTACATCTAAAAAAAGCTACAGTCTTTATTCATTTTGTACAAGGTGCAAGAAAAGGTTTAATTATATAAAATACACAGTCCTTTTTTAAGATCCTAGGGCAGTGGTGGCGAACCTTGGCACTCCAGCTGTTTTGGAACTACAAGTCCCATGAGGCATTGCAAGGCTTTGACAGCCACAGACATAACTCCCAGAGGCAGATGCATGTTGGGATTTGTAGTTTTGGAACAGCTGTAGTGCCAAGGTTCGCCACCACTGCCCTAGGGTATTAAACTCCGTTCAGAGGTCAAAAAGAGTTTAATACAGTGCATGATCTTCTCTGAGATGTAGGCGGCTTGATAATGTTGATAATGTTGATAATGTGCTTCCTCCTTTTCCTTTTCTATTCCTTTCTATTGGTAATCATAACACCCTCGCTGCTTAAACTGAACATGATTATTTTTATGCTAAACCCGTTACCATATTTAATGCCCTCCCTGTTGCTACTACCGGTATGTGCCCAGTTAGTTGCAATATACCCACTTCCCTGCCAGAAGGAAGGGTCTTAATTTTGAGTTCTGCTCCTCCTTCTGATATCTACCTTAATATTTATTTAAAATAATAATAACAGGGGTCATGTGTGGACCTTTAGTGATATAATTTATGTTGATTTCCCCTTAAAATACTTTACACACCTGGCATCTTCGGCATCACTTTGTAGTTTCCTTGCTCTGGCTATATCTTCTCTAGTCTGTGACAACACTAATTCCATATTTGGCATCTTCTCTGCTATGCTGCGGATTTCATTCATTTTTCTTTGGAGAGATAATGCATCCACAGGAAGTTTGAGGGACAAAACATATTCACTAACTTCTTGGATAGTGGCTGGATCTGTTGAGGGTTCTAAGAGAAAAATAAACAGAGTAAGCCATTTATTTTGATAGAATAATAAAGGTATTAAAGCAGATTTACAAGAAATATTAAAAATAAAAACTCAATCTGCCAGATATTCCCCCTATTTAGTAACATGGCAGGATTCCCACCTAACATAGTCTAATATAACAACAGTAAACCTATTTTGTGTCTTGCTTGTAGGGTTGCCACCTGTCCAGGATTCACCAGGATTCAGATGGACAGTTTGGGTTTTGAATGCTGCGTCCGGGTTTCATGGCAGCAGAAACCCGGACACAAGGCAGACAGGGGAAACCAAAATTAAGATAGGGACTACTGCCCCCACACTGAAAATAGTCTATACTGTGATATTTACATATGAATGGGCGGCACTTTTTACATATGAACAAGCCAGGACTCATTCTCCCAAGAAAATGACCAAGCGTCGCTGGAGTGTTCGGGTTTCGCTTGAAGAAAAGGTGGCAACCCTACTTGCTTTCCGTACTAGGAGGACTGGGGTCTGACCCACGGCTTGTAATACAGAGGCACTGTATTTTATGGTTTTGCTGTAATGTCAGTTTTATCATCTGCAAGATGCACTGCAAGGAAATTCTGTGATGGAGGCTCCTAAAAAAATCTGTGAGCTGTGTTACTTCACATGCCAAACAAATAGGACCTGCCCCAGTTTTCCATTATATAAAACTGTAAAGTCAATTAGTATCTATTAACCACAGTGTAGCTAAGTGTTTACACTGGACCCCTTGGTCCTGTAATGGTTGTCTGTTGTTACACAGATAGTGCCTACACTACTAATGGAATAATATACCTGCTTTGGTGTCCTCAACTGGAATTTATTTAAGTAGAAATTAAAAAAATATATATTGTTGGGTGTCACAAAATACAGGGCAGTGTAAAATAACAAGCTATTAGAAACATATTCTTTATAACTTAATTTGGTATTGAAATCTTTATACTTTGTGCTTCACCTTCATCCTATAGGATAAGCATGTACTCCAAAAGCTGGCAATGATACAGCATTTAAATCTTGTCTGAAGCTGTAATGATCTGACAGTAATACCTTGCACACCTCTGATCTTCCTGTCATATTGTCTCCTGTCACATGCACGTGGAAGCAGTAAGTTCAACTCAGAGGCATTTAAATAACTGTTCAGCATAAGTGAATTTAAAAAAAATGTGTTTGGTACAAACTAAACAGCATATTAAATACAATTAATGCTGCTGTATTTACATGGATGTAAAATATGGACGTGAAGTAAAATTCAGGGACTGCCCATTGAAAACATGTGATAAATGTCTATCTAATATCTATAAAAATGAGGTGCATAGAGCACTGGTGACACACTAGAAATCTGACTGAGGATCTACCTCCCCTCCCCCTGCTAGCCATAAGAAACGGTTTTGGATGGAGTTCCACTTATAGTGTAAAATATGATACTATGATGGCTGTGGTTAACCAGGCTTGCAACTTTAACTATTGCAACTTAAAGTGATATTGAAGTCAAAAGGATTTTAAGCTGTTTCAAATGCTGATAAAATCACTTACAATTAATGCTGCTTTGCTTGATTTATAAAAGTTTTAGTTTCCTGCAGAATCAGATGGTTCCCTGAGCACTGTCCCTGACATCCTGTTTTAGAGTGACTCCTTTCTCAAGCAGAGTGCTGTGCAGTCACCCTTGTGGGTGCGAGTAGGCTGTGTGTGTCTCCACAAACACAAACACACAGCAAATCCAGCTACTCCCCTCTGGCCCCCTTTCCTCCCTTCTCCAAGCTAGTAGATGAACACTGGAGTTACTGGAGTCTGCACTGTCCTTTGTGATCTTGTACTGGACAGAAAGTTCAGGGAAGCTGAGAGACTTGAAAGCAGCTGTTCAAAAACATGATGATTGTAGGTGTTTTGTCAAAAATGTAAACCAATGCTTTACAGGGCAATGTATATTTGTTTGATTTTCATTCATTATTGAAAAATGTTAGAGAGTTTAATACTACTTTAACCTGCAATAGTTAAGTTGTATCAGGGCTTGAGTTGGTACTGGTTACATCTGGGTACATTTGGTACATCCACAACTACTGTGCTGCCGGACGGTTTAAGACTTCTTTTGGTTACCACCTGCCCCATGAATATGTGTGATCTTCCCAGCTGTCAGGGCTACTGTATATAATCTGGGCAGAGGAATTTGTGATATAATATATCCAACTCAGACCTGTGTTGTAGCTGCTGGGGAATTTGCTTTATAGCTTGGACATAGGGATATGTGATACAACTGATTAAACCCAGATTTCAGCTGTGTTTGGAGCCTAGCTCTTTTTCCTTCCCTTTGCACATGTCCCTTGGAGAGGAGGTGTCTGTCACCATCAGTGGCCAAATATATCAACAACAACACGTGTCCCCTGAGGAGGCTTTTATTTAGAATGATTTTAAATCAATCCGAGAGACTCCTGAAGAAACAATTGACTGAATATTGCAAAATGCGTTGAGATGTTATTGTTCTCACTCTGGGCCTTTCTTACTATAGAAATTGTACAAACGGTATGTACATAGACTGATATAAACGCATTGCAAACAAATTTAATAAGTTGGCCAGGCGAGCTAATCTCTCGGCTCTATGGCGTTTGATGCAATGTTTTTAATGCAACTTTGTAATGTTATGTTAGAATTTAATAAAGAATTGATTTTTAATAAATAAAGTTGTATGAGTACCATTAAAGTCTGCCAGGGTTCTAGTGAACCTGTTTTTTGGTTCAATCTACTGGTTTAAGCTGTTTACTATAATTTTACTAAAAATATCTGAAACAATAGGAATATACATTTTTGCATTTAGTGTTAATCACTGTTATTTGATTAAAGTCAAGCATTCAATATATAAATCTAGTGCTCACAAGAAGGAATGTCAAGTGTAATTATTGCCATAGCAGACCATGTGGCCACTATGGGGCCAAGAAGCATAGGGGGCCGAGAGCTGTCTGACTATGCAGTGATTTATATAGGTAGCAAAACAATTTGACAAATGTGTCAGTTTTGTCAGCTGCTGTTGTTGTTGCTGTCTAAATTTTCCTGAATAAAATGTCATCACTACCAGCATAAATCACATAAACAGACAGCTATGGGTTTTCTGTGAATGAAATCAGTGTATATAAAGTTTGGGAACCTCTATACTAGGCTATGCAAACAGTCAGTATTATGAGCATCTGTAGAATTTACTTTTAAGATAGAGATGACAGATGGGGTCCCTTTATATTTTTACTACATAGTTATGGCTCTAAATGTTGCGTAGACGATTTACACTAATTATTACCTATTATCAATTTACTGAAAACTACTATCGAGTTTAGCCAGTCACTGGCTATGGTTAAGGAGGGAACCGGTTCAGCAAAGTAATCCTTTAAAGGCTGCTCTGATATTAATATATTAAGCTGACATTTTAAGAAGTCAGCAGCTTGACTTATTGCTCAGACATGTAGTCTGATTACACAGTCTGCACAGGTAGCACCTGAACCTGCGGCACGTGGATGAAATAGACACTGACGTCTGCAGAACTCAGATCTAGTACATTACAGGATATCTGCTTAGTCTTATTCTATGAGTTGGTAAAACATCTAAGGAAGGTTATATGAAATAGATATATGTACAGTTTGCAAAAAAGGCAGAGGTAAAATGTAGTTTATTTGTGCCCAGTATAGAAAAATGGAACACATGGCTTTTTACCCCAAGGACAGTAAAAAGGGTTAAGGGGACATCAGATGCATGTGGAAAAGTGAAGATTTTACCATCAATTTAGGAAAGGGTATTTTTTCAGTAAGAGTGGTTTAGTTCTGGAGTGCTTTACTGCATGAGGTACTAGTAGCAATGTCAATAAAGGAACTGCAAAAAATGGACTGAAAACTCTTCTTTATAATAGCTAACTGCTAATATGGGAAAAGGTCCTGATAACCTTGTAGAGTATGAAAGGATTTTTTCCTCCTCTGTGGTATAATTGACAACAGTGGGGTCTATTCACAAAGCTGCCGAAGGATCTAGCCGTAGCTTCGGCCGATCCTTCGGCTAGCTTCGGCCCCAGGACCCCTTTGGTTCAGTAGAACCGAAGGGGTGCTGTACGGGCTATTCACTATAGCCCGTACAGCTCCCAAACGTGGCCGAGCGATGCTCCCGGCCGCCAAGGAGAGAAGCACTGCTGTTTCTTTTTTTTGTTTTATTCTGACACGGAGCCGTGTCACTGATGCATTGCTAGATTCCTATTGGCTATTTCAATTTGCAATAGCCAATAGTAAACTAGCATTGTACCCGCCCTCTGCTGACTGAGTCGAACTCCTTCTGCACTTCGCATGAAGCCATGCGAAGCAAGCTGATGTACGGCTTATTTCAGCCGATATACGACTGAAATCAGCCATACCAGCCTGAAGTGAATAGCCGAACAGTGTTCGCTCACTTTACTTCAGGTCAGTCATTCACTCGGCTGCCTACGGCAGCTTAGTGAATAGACCCCAGTATCTCAGGGTATTTTGCTCTGCCTTGCTATGAAGCTAGTTTTGAATTTGACAGACACTAGTCTTTTTTCAACATAATTAACTATGTAAGATTACATTCTGCTAGAGTTAGCCAAGCAGCTCCAAAAGTCATGACAGCCCCAGGGATGTAGGGATAGGGGAATTTGGGGGTAATACAACACGCACAGTTTTTCATTTGCTGTGGAAAACCCTCTTTAAGGTATTATAAATTATTTGGTCATAACTCAGAAAGAATGTTTTATCTTTGAATCACCAGTATGGCAGTAAAGATGGTGAAAAATGGGTTACATGTTTGTACATTATTTTAGTGACAGAATAGGTCATCATCATTTAAGTTCATGAAATACTATAGCAGCAAAGTATTACAAAACAGTGTCACTGTCATCTCTTACCCATCAGAAAATCTCGGATTTGCTGTATGAACTGCTTGGAGATTCCTAATCGTTGGTCCATGTCTTTCCTGGTCTGAGTCACTTGGCTCATCAGATGCTGTGAATTATCTTTAATCTGATTGGCTGTTCTTTCTGCTTCTGTTATCTAAAACATATATACAGTTTTATTTAACCAACTACATGCAGATAAAGTTAAATTTTCCAATTTCCAGTAATTTGCTGCATTACTGCTTCATTTGGTTTGAGTGTTGGATATATTTCATAGATTATTATCAAGTCAATACTACATTTTATAAAGGTTGCAACTAGTCAATATACTTCAGTAGTGCTGGATTTGCAAGGATTTGCCAAATTTCAGCAACTGATTTGTATGCATACAGTATGTAACCACTCCCTTTTGTTCCCTCTGGCAAGATGATGGACTCATTTGCCATTTTATAATTATGGGAAATTTTACAGTAAACACTCAGTATTCCTATGAAGATCATCAGTAGGAAAGCATTGTCAAATTAAATTCAACTACATTAAATTAAATGGTGAATTTGTATAAATCTAATTCAGACACAAAGCTGTCAATTTCTCTGCTGATTTAAGCTGAAAAATAGCAAAAACAAATGAACTACTGAGCTAAAAAGAAGCTTTGAAATAAAAATTGCAATGCTGAAAAAACATAGTGGGGGCATTTTAATATAGAATTTGTGACTTTTCTGGGGTTTATGCTCTGTAAGAGTGCCCTGCACAAAATTCAGAAAAGCAGTGCGATAGTTCTAATGCTACGTCCATCACATGCAACAATTTCAGGTAACACTTACACATTAGGCTGCAATGGCTACTACAAAATTCATAAATAAATACCTATGAAGATTTTGGTGGAGATGACCTGCATGGAGATGGAGTGAGGAGCCTGTCACCCTGACGTTGTTAGTTGCTAGGGCGCTGGCAGTCCTAAGGCTTCCAACAGCCTAGCCAACAATCAGGCTTGGCTGCAAAATGTAATTGCTTGCTAAGCATCCTAGCAAGCAATCAGACTCGGCTGCACAACATAATTGGTCGGTACGACCAGCATCCTAGCAACCAATGAAACTCGGCTGCACAGCATCCTGGAGCCCTGTGCATAAGGCACATTTGGGTACATGTTTCTGATATGTACCTGGATTTGTCGCATTAACCGACATTTGTCATATGGTGGCACAGACACTTTTCTAAAGAGTGTCTGCACCACTCTATGAATTCCAGGGATTATGTATTACATCTTTTAATGTTTGTTCATGTCAAAAAACTTTTTTTAATATGACATCGGATAGGCAAGAAAAGCTTACATAATATTTATATACATTTATGTCATCTGTTTTATACAAACTGATGCATGGCAAACTGATATGATCTTGAAAAGAAGCATAAGTTAATGTCCAGCCAAAACAAATTTCTTTACCATCTGAGCATTCTTCATCAGTTGGTTGCTGATATTCAGAAGATCCTTGGAAGTTTTCTCCGAGCTCCTTAATGCATTCATGGACAAAGGGAATGCCCCTCTGCAAAGAGTTCCCACTTTACACAAGGTAACATTATTCCTTCGACATATGTTTCCAGGGCAGTATTCTGGGGTGCAGGAGTCTGTTCTTATACCCTCACAAATCTGAAACAAATGAACCCAATGCAGTGAAATCTTATATTTGGTCTTCTAAGATTTGCTCAATCTACCTTTCATTATAAGAAGCACACAAGCAGAGTCCAAATTCAAGCAAGTGGAGTCCTCTAAGATCTGAAATCTGTTTATAACAATTATCTACATACTTTAAAATGATATAAATGATGTTATATATACTGTATATTACCAATGAACAATTAACTGCCTATTGTGGTAGCTAGGGAACAGAAGAGTTGGCTTATATGACATGATAAGTGTTAGGGTTGCACAGATACCAAGTACAGTACCCGGTACAAGTACGAGTACATGTACAGATACTTTTGAGCTCCAAGACTACACTAGAGAAAAATTCAAAAATTAGGAGGCAGCTGTCATTTGTAAGTAGCACACGGAGCTCCTGGGATTTGTACATCTCTGTTTTAATGTACGATTTTGTTTTTATAACTATAAATAAAGGGATGCACAGATACCAGTTTTGCGAGTACGAGTACTGGTACTTGCCGAGTACTTACAAGTACGAGTACTGATACATTTTTGTTTATTGTCATGTGATAGTTTTTCTAAAACAATACAGACTAATGATTTCAGGACAGTGGTGGAGTGCCAGAGCCAGGTCCCAGCTGCAACCGCTGCAACCCTGGTAGTTCTCATGAAAACGCCAAGTATCTGCACTGGTACGCGAAAAGTATCTGTGCATCCCTAATAAGTGTTAATGTTAAAGATTGTTTCACTTTAAAATATGTTATACCTCTTTAAACACCCAGTAATAAAAAGAGCCAGAGCAGTGGTGCTACAGAGCCAGTACATAGCAAATATCCATAGATACTTAAATATTTGTTTTGTCTTTTCTTCAGATTACCAAATAAATGACACCAGGAGTGTCCCTAGCCTGTGCATCATCTTTCCATCCAGCTCTAGTTCCTGCTCTGGCTGGTGTCCCGCCCATCACTGGTTTCCAGAGGCTCAGTAGGACGCCGGCCAGAGAGTCCCAGGTTGCTACGAGCAGGGTGGGGAGATGTGTATGGCTCTTACACATCTCTCCACCTAGCTCTTAGCAAACTGGGACACTCTGGAGCCTCAGATACCAATACAAACAAGGCAGACAGGGATTGTAGTCAACTACTATATCTTCCTCATTCTCTCTTAAACAAAGACATTTTTGGCTGACATTTACTTTAAGCAACACAATTATTTTTAAAGTTACCCTGTTAATGGTTGGTGTAAGATCTGGGTAGGATAGTTCATCTTTCAGGGTTTTTAGGTCCTCCACCGCCTCTTGGATCTTTCCTTCAAGCCCATTTAACCCTTTTCTACTTTCCCTTGATTGAGATACAGTTGCCATGGCTGATGCCACAGTTTTTGCAGACTCCTGTGATGACTGGTATGCAGAACTAACAACGGTATATAAACCTAGGAAGAAAGCAGCCTTTGTTATAATATTCAGCATAACTTTTCTCTTATGTAAAGGATCAGCCCACACAAAAAAATATTTCCGTTTTTGATAGATGCTGGAGAGTCAGGCTGCTTGAAAGTTTCATATACCCCACAGGGACTTATACAATATGATCTCTGTGCTTCAGTTCCTGGGTCTGTAACTTGCTGCTTTCCCTGTCTAATTTTTAATATATTTATATAATGGAAAATACAAAAGGAGATGCTAGAGCTCACCAAGGTGGGGCAAAATATACAACAATCTCACAAACAAAATAATGTAAAACACTTTGGCAGGAACACCTTGCTGATGGAGTATCCAAGACAAATAGGAATCCAAGGGGGGACTCTGCCCACCAGGATGCATCTATATTTCAAATATGACTTTTGGGTGGACTTATCCTTTAATACAACTTAATAGCTTTAACTAGTAAGACTAAAGACATCAATGTACCTGAAGCATTTTGAGCAATGGCATTTCCTTGCTGGGTCACTTTATTCTGGTAAAGAATAGTAATGCTGTTATAGTGGACCCCCAAGGAGTTCAAGTCATTTGAAAGGGAATCAAAACCGTCCAAAGGTGGCAGGTCGGACTTTAGCTCTCCCACATCTCCTCTGCAAAACAAAAAAAAAAGAAGTGTTTTGCACATCTTCTACTTCTATATAAACGGAGCAACCTACCTGCTCATATTAAGTGTTAATGTATAACAGCATAGCTAATATATACAATGTATAACATTTGTTCAAAGTTAGCTACTGACAAATGTATTAAGCGTTTGTATATTCACAATATCACCATGCACAGTCTTAAAGCTTAATTGAACCCTCTTCATTTATTACTATAATGCAGTCAGGCTGCATAAATAGTAATAAATATGCCTCTTCAGCAAAGGTTAAAAAATCATGTGCTGCCAACAGATAGGAGAGTTCCCCAACATCTCTTGCAGTCCGACATACCCTACTGTAAACTTCTCTAATCAACATTGCTTTCACTCCCTAAGTAGCCCTGTTAATTAGAGCAGTATTTTGGGGAAATTGTAAAAAAAAAAAAAAAAAAGACCAGTCAGCGCACAACTAAGTAAGATCAGTGGTCTAAACAGTCACATGAACATGCCAAAGAAAAGGCCAAAGAAAAGTCTCAGGATACTGTTCCTGATGCAGATAGTGAAAGCCCACAACTATAAAACAACAAAAAAGAAAGCAGAACACACCACCTACAGCATTATTGTGGATTTATGTATGGCAAATGAAGCAGGGGTTGCACTCACAAGAATAGCATAGAGAAGCAATCTACAATTTTCTATGCATTGTATGGACACAATTATTATGCTGTCTCCTTGTCTCTTGCATGATAGTTGTGTCCATACGTTCCCTAGAAGATGGTGTTAGAGTTGTCATCGCCCCATGGTGTCCCTTGAAAGACAAGGATGTAATGGTGTTGAAAGCGCTCCTCTATGCTATTCTTGTTAGTGCAATCCCTATGTACTTTGTCATACATAAATCCTAATTGAATGCACTAGATGGTGCACTCTGCTTTCTTTCTTTCTTTTTTGGGGGGGAGGGAGGGGGTGATGGCTGTGTCTGTGAGATGGACGATTGCTTGAGTCTGATTGCAGCAATCCAACTCTCTAACTGGTACCAACAAAGGAGTTTTGTTTAACCCTTGCTGCAGCACCATTAAAATAAGCATCTTCATACTGTATATGCAGTCTGACTGCATTACAGAAATAAATTATGAGGGTTCAACTGGGCTTAAAACAAATCTGTTGCATACTATGAGGAAGACGTATCAAGCAAGTTGCAAACAGAATCACAAGCAATTTTAGTGCAAATCCAGTCTGCTCATGTATGAAAGGTTTTGTAGTAGATTTTATGTATATATGCAAGCCCTGTACCAGCTAACATGGACAGACAACTGCAACAGTTACACCAAGACCACAGACAGATTTGAGAAAGTTATACAAGGATTGGAGACTGATATTCAATTAGAAGTAGTTAGGGCATGTCTATAAAAGTGTAGATCAAGACTTTATGAATCAAGCTGCAATCTTTTCCTAAATGTTATACAGTAATCTGTTTAACTGCTCCTGTTTGCTCCGTGGTTTATTCAATATTCTGCTTTGCCATATGTCTGTATATAGAGGACCTGATCTAGATATAAATAAACATATGTAACTTCTGTTACAGTATGTGTTTACTGCATTTACCAGCAATCTGCATAGTTTAGAACTTGTACTATGGCATTTCTTTCAGAACACAAAATGCATAGCATTACACAACTGACATTTCTCATGAAAGGTTGCACTAATGGTAGATTGTTACATTTTCAGTAATAAGCCTGCTCTGAACTTTATGTTTACAGTATATAAGATGCTCAGTGCTTGTTAAGTGACACAAAAGAACATGTAATCAACAACATTAACTGAAGAAATGACTGTTAAAGGGAGTTAGCTGTGTTCTGTATATATTTTATTTACTTGTATGTTTTGGCCATTACTTTAAAAATGGCATATTTCAAGTAATCTTAGTCAGCTCCGATGTGTAGCCACGTTGCCCTAAGTGGGGTGACTCCTTAAATTTAGTTCTGCTGGACTGTATCCTGTCTAGTTAATGTATTAGTCTTGCCGCAGAGCAACCAATAATGTGGTTACACATTAAGGTGTAGGAGTTGATAATTTCTGTTGGGCACATCTTAAGGGTGGAATTCTACCAGGCAGAAACATTGAAGAACAATTTGAAAAAGGTAAGTCTGGTGTTATCTGGGTTCAGGTTTCACATTCCACAAATTTTTAAAGGTAAATATTTTGATTGCTAGCTACAAGATGTGTAAGACCCACTACTGACTTACCTCATTTTTGCCATTTGGTTCTCCATCCGTAAAAGCTCATTATCTGAGACCCCTGACCCACTTGACAGTCTCTGAACACGCTGAAGTTCATCTCTGCACATGTCCAGCCGAGGTCCAAAATCTACAGCAGACTGCCCTACCTCTAAGGCACTTGTGTTTCGTAGAACTTGCATTTGAGTGCCAAGAGTTCTTAGCTCACTGTCATAAAAATTGAAACAGGAGTGACATGGTCTGCAGTCCGGGTATGTGTTAGTATATCCTCTGTGGCAAGAATCACATCGTACTCCCATAATGCCTTGACGACACAAGCACTTTCCAGTTGCCTTATCACAACCCATATCAATGGTTCCTTGGAAGTCACAATTGCAAGCTACATGAAAGGAAAAGAGAACAGTTAGTTGATTTTCACATCTAAGTAAAATCATTACCACTGCAATCTCAAACAAACAAAGTGATCTATGATCCTTAATTAGGGAAACCAAAGCAACTTATTCATACAGTATGTACCTGGTCATTCGAAAAAAATGTCAGCCAGTGAAAAGTAACAACTAATCCTTCACTTGAATGCCTAAAAGTGCCTTGACTGAATGGAATTTTGTAAAATAAAACCGTATACATACTTAAGCAAACACTACCAAGTTTGTCAACATAGCTTGAATATTGCATGGAATATGCATTTATTTCCCCAAGATAAAGTTGCATTATGCATGTCTGTTGTGTCTGCATGGAAAGATGCCATTTACTAATCCAATAAGAGTTCAGTAGATCATTGTCTGAGGTCTGAACACCAACTAATGTCAACATCCAGCATAAGCTGGGACTGTAGACGGGGCTGTGTTGTAGCCAGGCCCTCTGTGATCTTTAGGTATGTATTAGAATGCAGAATTGACAACACAATGCCCCATGTCTATGTCACATACTATAGCACTGCTAGGCACATGAAAACGATGAGCATCACTGCAGACACCTGTTAATAAACACTATGCTGCATGATTATTACTACAAAAAATAAGTTGTATACTGTCTATTTTATTCGAAAAATTGCAACCATACAGTGCAGCTCATCAATCATTAGGGTGTGGAGAAAAAGGATTTTAGGTACAGAGAGCCTTGTAAGCCTTTAAACAGCTTTCAGATCCCGCAAATCCTAAATTGTTTTGCTTACTTTAATTACAAAAGTCTAGGGTTTCTATCTTGGCAGTAAAACATGACCCTTTTTTATTAAATTAAATTATATACTGTAACATTATAAAACTGCTTTCTCGCAATGGTCTGTTTATATACATCTTTACATATACAACTAGGTCCTATTTAGAATTTAAAACTAACCTGAAATATGTTTTACCTACCTAATCCAGCACTGTCAACACACAGTAGGCACCATCAGGAGGTTTATCCTGATGTAACCATGTTTGATGCACAGAATAGCTGGGTGCTCAGAAATACACTTCATGGGTTAATTTGGTTTGAACCCTGGCACCTACACTTTCTATTTCTTAAGCCACACTACAGGCCATTAAGGCTTCTCATCATAGTAATGGACTGATAATGAGGCTTTAGGGGATGAGAACAAATTGGGGACAGGCTTCTGAGGCAATTAACCTAGGAAGTTAGTGTATTTCAGAGCACCCAGGCCTTTTGGGCACCTAGACTGTTTACAGGGAGGATGGACATGGTATTCAAGGTGGCAGCTGTGCCAACTGTGCTGGACAAAAAAATATATATACAATTTGTTCATTTGCATTAGTCTGTGTACATTAGATTCTTTATATAATTTTACAGTAGTGGTTGTCTTGCATATAAATGTAATCATCATAGCTGCCTTAGGCTTATATTTTGAAATATTATAATTTATTTCTTGCAGAGATATGAAATATTCTTTATGTGGTGTAGCACAGGAGCATATAATACAAACCTCGACATCCAGTTTGCAAGTCTCCATACATCCTGATTGGGCATTCAGTACAGTGTTGACCACCGAAGCCTTCTTTACACAGGCACTGGCCAGTAACCTATACAAAATAGAATAATAATTATTATGTATAATAAGTTCTTGTACGTAAATATGCATGTGCCTACATTGCTCTTATTTTAACATTTAAAGTATCAATATTACTTAATAGTTTTAAGGTTTTTTTAATTAAATAATTAACAGTATATCACACAATATTTTCAGGTTTCAATGTCGCTTTTGGGGATGAATGCAATTTGTAACTCCACAATCTCCTCCTAAAAGCCACTTTTAGACCATTTTTCTGAGGAAGCGTATGGATGCACAATATATGCATTAAAGGTTCCCCTAAACAAGCAGGAAGGAAGTTTTAATACCTTATGTGATGTGCAGATAGTTAAGAATTTGCATTCTCTTGTGTGTAAACACAGTAGAATACTGAGGAGAGGAGCTGCAGCAGTGCTGCACGCAAAGAAAAGGAAGCGAGAACACTCAAGGCTAAAAGAAGGAAAAGGAGCAGTGAAAGAGAGCAGCTACACATCAACTATACATTATTACTTGATTCCACAGATGAAGCATTGTTGCTTTGATAAATGCTATAATCTCAGAGAAGCTGAGTATGTGGTCAATATTTTATTTAACAGTTGACAGAGTATTGCATTAGAGTTTGGATGAGCGCTACTTTAATTTCCAACTACAAATTATTTTATATGTGAAAGAGTTCAGCATAATATACATCATTTTTTCAGTGCACATTAATATTTTTAAAACCTTATTTTTATGTATAGTTTGCAAATATATATGTATACTGGACAGGCATCCAGTACTGCACCATATGAGGAAAGGGAGGGAGTCACATGATACCACAGATATCCCCACAATAGCTGTTAGTAGTATGAAAATATAGCATATTCTAAATGTTCTTTACCTGATTACATTGAAGACTATAAGAGTTTCTAGGAAGACAACTGCACATTTGACAACCCCTTCCACTAGCAAGATTCCAGTGCTGGGAGGCACACTGATCACACCGATGGCCTATAACATTTGGAAGACACCGACACTGTCCTGTTTCACTGTCACATGGCTGGTCTTTCTCCGTCCCCTGAGGATCACAGTTACACTCTGAAACGAAAAAAAATTACACCACTTAACAAATACACAACTAAAATATATATTCAAGCATCATATTTAAACCTCTATGGTTTGGCACGCATGGAAGGACATTATGCAATGTGTTGCTGAAATCCACAATAAAGTTTTGTGTACTTTTGTGAAGATCCGTGGAGTGCGATCATTTTTTCTTTTCTATAACATGCCACAGCAGTTCTGATCAGCCCGTGTAAAAGGGGCCTAAATCTGCACATATTCCTTTCTGTATGCAACAATACAATGCTGGCTTCATTGTCAGATTTTGGGATGGGTGGAAGAGAGTGTCACTCATCACCAGGTGTAGCTGCAGACTTGGGGACTCAAAGCAAGGGTGGTGTGTCTTTGCAGTCTCAAAAAACGTAACTAGTTCAGAAAATGAAGATAACAGTGAACAACCTTAATAAAATAATTCTGCTGGAAGGCTTCCGCTCATGATTTATTCTAAATGACAGTTGTGTCACTTCTCATAGATTTTTTCTTACCATGCACATGTGACTCTTCTTAGCTCCATGGATACCTCACTACATAATCTACAGATCTGGCCTTCTTTTGAAGGACACAAATGGTTACTGACATCACTGCAGTAATTTAATACCTACATCAAAAAACAAATGATTCATAGTTTGCTTTTTCCTAACTAATGAACTGCTAGAATAAAATAAATAATTCAAACATGAAAATCTGCACCCAAAAATATATAATTATACATAGATTAAACATCTATAATACAATGCTATTGGAATTCACAACTATACAAATTGTTTCCATGATTTCCACTGTAGTTATAACTGCAAATAAATCAAGAAGGGGAAAATGTATCTAAAATAGTAGTTTTTCAAAATTAACTAACCCTATACATAAACAATATCTCTTTTTTATGAACCTTCATAATTCATATTTTAATTCCTTAATTCTAAACTATAGATAGCAGTGTCTTACAGAAGAACTACTTTGCATATTTTTTGTAGATTATTGCTGCCCTCTGGTGGTGTATACTTAGCTGTAACCTTTGCTAATCAAAAAGCTGAGTTTATTTACACTGAATTTAACATCTTCAAAGCAATGGTGGCCTTGGCAACTGCCATTGAATATCAGTGAATCCTCTTTCACCACTTCAATGAAAGGAGATCCTTAGTTCAATTAGTGTGATTCAGCTTGGGCCTGTGCACTGTATGATGCAGGAGAGAACAAAACAGTGAAAGTACATTGGGACATGGGAAGGGGTTGCTGCTGCCACTCTGTATAACAAGTAGAAATATAAAAAAAAATTAATCTGTAAAGCTCATTCTCAAGCAGTGGTGTTTGTCCCCCAAAGGATACTTCTCATGTGTTCAGTGGGTACTGATGCTTCTTAGTAAATTATATACAAAATAGATTTTATTAACCTTTTATACACAGTTAGAATTTCGAACAAACAAAATCAAATTCGGAAAGTTTGTTTAACTTTCTAATCGTTAATGGGGTTGAATCAATGGTCAATTTCGACCACAGTGCCAAATAATTTTAAAGGAGCATATTGGAAAAATTTTCTCGATTGAATGAATTTCGAACAGTGAATGTGGTTTTCGTTCGGAAACTCCATTCATTCCAAAATTGAATGTTAAATAAAAATAAAAAATTAAACGAGATTTCGAATGACAATCGGCAAGTTACTGATGCCAGTATCGTAAGTTCCGATGGGATTTTTCATACGAACGTTCATGCCAAAATCTAACTGTGTATACCCTACTTTTGTTTGCTTAAAAACATTATCTTTTGTTCTTTTGTTTGGAAAATGTATAACATTAATGGAGTACTGGCAATACATGTACCCATGTCGAGGGGCATTCAAAATAAGGTGATTTACTTCAGGGGATATTCTATGAATAGTTTTCATAGCAGTACTTACTTTAATAAAGCTGAGAAAGATGACCTGCGCTGCCCATCATACATAGTATAGCCTACAAAATGTACACAAGGTATGCATAAAACAAATAAAGAGCCATGTATGAATATTGCTACTTAACCCTCATGTTCTTCCAGTGTGATTTGGGGGTGTGAAAGGGAGCGGGGGGGGGCGGGGGAAGAATTGATTGGTTTGGACACGAAGAACCTTTCCTCCTTTAGAGACCTCAAAATATGACTCCTAAATACCAAACACAAAAAGGAAGAACATTGTATAACCTAACATAAGCTTTCATCTGCAACAGGCAGACCATTTTCCCAAATGTATTCCAAATTTCCTCATAGCTTTTATAAAAAAATCATACACAAATACAAGAACAAGATTATTCTGTGATTGGGAATATATATGTCACTTACTTGTACATCCCTGTAGATTAGAAGCACTCAGGAGATAAAACCCTGGCTTGCACTGGTCACAGCGCTCTCCTCCAACATTTTCTTTACAAATACATCTTCCATTTGTTTGATCACAGCTGCCGCCAGCAACACTACCCTCTGGATCACAATCACAGGCTAAAGAAAACATGAAAAAAATCACTCACCTCTTTACATGATCAATAGACCCTGCAAGCCCCTGGTGCACACTAAAGCTTCCCTATTCCAACTTAGAGTTGCATAGCATTTAAACACTGGCACACCTACAGGGATCTTCTTCAAAATTCTCTTTAAAAACAGCAAATACAATAGCTTATGCAATTCAGCTCAAGCTGTGACTAAGGCTCAGTACTTGAGCTGAAATGTGTAAGTTATTGTATTTGCTGTTTGTCTGAAATAAAGAGAATTTTGAAGAAGATCCCTGTATGTGCGCTGGCATTTAAACACTGTTTTTCAGTGGGGTGCACAATGTCATGTTAGTTCAACTGCAATAAAAGAGCATTGGTGCCTTTATCACTACCTAGTACCATCTCCTGAATCATTCTGCAAATGGGGAGAATTAATCTCGTTGGCAGATAAAATGAGAATGACATTAAAAGATCACCTAGATTTTATTAACCTTTTATACACAGTTAGAATTTCGAACAAACAAAATCAAATTCGGAAAGTTTGTTTAACTTTCTAATCGTTAATGGGGTTGAATCAATGGTCAATTTCGACCACAGTGCCAAATAATTTTAAAGGAGCATATTGGAAAAATTTTCTCGATTGAATGAATTTCGAACAGTGAATGTGGTTTTCGTTCGGAAACTCCATTCATTCCAAAATTGAATGTTAAATAAAAATAAAAAATTAAACGAGATTTCGAATGACAATCGGCAAGTTACTGATGCCAGTATCGTAAGTTCCGATGGGATTTTTCATACGAACGTTCATGCCAAAATCTAACTGTGTATACCCTACTTTTGTTTGCTTAAAAACATTATCTTTTGTTCTTTTGTTTGGAAAATGTATAACATTAATGGAGTACTGGCAATACATGTACCCATGTCGAGGGGCATTCAAAATAAGGTGATTTACTTCAGGGGATATTCTATGAATAGTTTTCATAGCAGTACTTACTTTAATAAAGCTGAGAAAGATGACCTGCGCTGCCCATCATACATAGTATAGCCTACAAAATGTACACAAGGTATGCATAAAACAAATAAAGAGCCATGTATGAATATTGCTACTTAACCCTCATGTTCTTCCAGTGTGATTTAGGGGGGGGGCGGGGGAAGAATTGATTGGTTTGGACACGAAGAACCTTTCCTCCTTTAGAGACCTCAAAATATGACTCCTAAATACCAAACACAAAAAGGAAGAACATTGTATAACCTAACATAAGCTTTCATCTGCAACAGGCAGACCATTTTCCCAAATGTATTCCAAATTTCCTCATAGCTTTTATAAAAAAATCATACACAAATACAAGAACAAGATTATTCTGTGATTGGGAATATATATGTCACTTACTTGTACATCCCTGTAGATTAGAAGCACTCAGGAGATAAAACCCTGGCTTGCACTGGTCACAGCGCTCTCCTCCAACATTTTCTTTACAAATACATCTTCCATTTGTTTGATCACAGCTGCCGCCAGCAACACTACCCTCTGGATCACAATCACAGGCTAAAGAAAACATGAAAAAAATCACTCACCTCTTTACATGATCAATTTGTCTTTGAAAGCACTGTTTTTTAGTATTTTTCATATGTCTAATCAGCTCTACTTCCCTCCATCCAATGTGTATGCCTGCAAGACCCTGCAAGACCCTGGTGCACAGTAAAGACTCCCTATTCCAACTTAGAGTTGCATAGCATTTAAACACTGGCACACCTACAGGGATCTTCTTCAAAATTCTCTTTAAAAACAGCAAATACAATAGCTTATGCAATTCAGCTCAAGCTGTGACTAAGGCTCAGTACTTGAGCTGAAATGTGTAAGTTATTGTATTTGCTGTTTGTCTGAAATAAAGAGAATTTTGAAGAAGATCCCTGTATGTGCGCTGGCATTTAAACACTGTTTTTCAGTGGGGTGCACAATGTCATGTTAGTTCAACTGCAATAAAAGAGCATTGGTGCCTTTATCACTACCTAGTACCATCTCCTGAATCATTCTGCAAATGGGGAGAATTAATCTCGTTGGCAGATAAAATGAGAATGACATTAAAAGATCACCTTCTACTAGCTAGATAACTAGATAAGTTGCATAAGTAGCTTATTCATTATATTGTAACATAATATAATTGTATATCAACATGATAAGAAAATTAAACAGATCATTCATTACTGAGGCATGGAAGATGGTCACACTTTTTAATGTTGCTTTGGAACAACTCATGGTCATAGGTAAATAATGAACTAATTTATACTTTTTTCTCTGGGCATTTTCTGAACTGAAAAAAACTATCTTAGTTTCAAACCATAATTAGAGGAGAACTATTGGGAAAGTAAAATGTACTCTTCTCAACAGTTTGAGCCAGCTACATAGCTTGAGAACTCAGCGATCACAAACCGCTGGTTGTTCAGTTCACAGCTTCTCCCTGCAGAGTGTTGATTGTCTGTCACTACTTCCTGCAGGGATTCCCCCTTCCCTCTGTTCCTCCAGTGCTCATTGGAGGGACAGACAGAGGAGGGGGGTGGGACACAGCTGGCTCCAGCTCTAGAGAAGCAGAGCCAGCTGTCAATCAGATAGCGGGGTGAATCCTGACAATATTGTCAGGATCCTTCCTGGCTACAGCATGGCTCTGGCCTGTCAGCATATAACCAGCAGTAGCCCACTAGATTCTGACTTTGGGTCACAGGAGTACATTAGTAAATGTATGCATGTGACCCAAAAGAGAACTAAAGCCAAAAAAAAAAGGTGTGGCCATAGTAGGGCTGCAACAACTAATCGACATAATCGATTATAATCGATTATTGAAAAAGTTGTCAACTTTTTCAATAATCGATTAATCGGCTTCCGATTGGTTGGCCCTGTTCACGGCTCCACACACGCTGTACGTCACACCTCCTCCCCACCTCACGCTCGCCGCTGCCAGGCCCGCCCGCATCCACACCTCCTCCCGCCTCACGCTCAGTGCTCGCCCAAATCCACGATCGGCACAGGTGCGCGGGGAGAAGAAGTAAGGAGGAGCAGGCGTGAGGGAATGACAATAGGCCCGATCTCAGAAACAAGTTGCTGGAAGACTGCTCAGGTAAGCCTGCACTTTCCCACACATGGTGCTCTATAATGTATTGCTGGGATTTGTATTCCTCTATACCTGATGGTACATTGTGATGTTTATTAGATCAGCTATAGAGGAATACAAATCCCAGCAATACATTGTACACTGTATAATATATTATTGCTGGGATTTGTTGTATTCCTTTGTAGCTGGTGGTATTCTGCATTGCGCTGTATGGAGGACTACAAATCAAGGAATAATATATTATACAGCGCAATGCGGAATACCACCAGCTATAGACGAGTACAACAAATCCCAGCAATAATACATTATACAGCGCAATGCAGAATACCACTAGCTATAGAGGACTACAAATCCCAGCAATAATACATTATACAGTGGTGCAATGCCGAATACCACTAGCTATAGAGGACTACAACACCCAGCAATAGTACATTATACAGCACAATGCAGAATACTACCAGATATAATGTACTATTGCTGGGATTTGTTGTACTCCTCTATAGCTGGTGGTATTCTGCATTGTGCTGTATAATGTACTATTGCTGGGTTTTGTAGTCCTTAATAGGCGGTGCCATTCTACATTAATTGCTGTATAATTTTACACTTTTCATTTCACTATATTGCACACCACACTTTTTTTTTCCTTTTCTTTACTTCCACCGCTCCAAGCTTGCTCCTGTGATGGACTACAATCTCAATACAAACTAGTAGTCCATCACTGGAGCCATTTTTTAAAATGTATTTAATTTTTTTATCCGATTAACCGATTAATCGAACTTAATAATCGTCCAACTAATCGATTTTGAAAATAATCGTTAGCTGCAGCTCTAGGCCATAGTTCTCTTTTTAATGTAGGTTTTCTCCACAGTAATCAGATTCAAGCTGACATTTTTCACATAAGGCAGTAACAGCATTTTATGAAATTCAACAGGCAACATCCCTATCTTTACTTCATAATTAATTATATTTATAAATAGCCCTACTATGCATGTTACTCACAAACACAGGCATCTCGTTGGCTGATGTCTTGATTGGGATTTCTGTAGTAATCAGGTTTACAACGCTCACAATATGTTCCTGTGGTGCCATCAGCACAATCCTCACATACACCACCACTCACTCTGCCACTAGCTTCATATACTTCAGGGTCAAAATGGCATTTGTCAGCGTGATTGTTACAGTTACACTCTGTGAAGAATAAAATGCAAATTATTAAGATGATACATAAATAGCAGGAGTACAACAGTGGTTTCCTCTATCATTTTACTAAAAGGCTAAAGCACTTAGATTTCGCACTTGGGTCTTGGAACAAGGTATTTGCCAAATTTTTACATCTCTAGGAGACGTCATTGTCAAGAGCTCTTTGTCAAAGTTCCATATCTGTTTCTGCATTCTCTGTATTCCCATTGTTCTTGCTGCATTCCGCATGTGATTAGTTAAAATAAAATAAATGTTTAACAGCAGGAGTAGATGTAGCACCTCCACATTATGGCTGAAACAGGTGTTCAGGCCTCAAAATTCAGATGTCAGGATTTCCAAAGTCAAAGAGATATAAGCAAGTAGCTTATGTCAGCTTTCCATCATCCATCATAAACTGAAATTGTTTGGGTGTGGACTAACTCTTTGAGAAATAGTGAGGCTGTACGTAGAAGAAAATATACCCAAGAACATGTCTGTAAAACCACTAGCTGTACCAGATTTTAATGAATACACACAGTACGAAACATCCATTATAATCAATTATGTAAATCAGCGGTACCACAAAACCTCAAAAGCCAACTTTTCAAGTCAACTATTGTGATATATAGTTCAGGATAATTGTAGAGCTGATTTCATACTTGCAAATAAAGAGCATGCCATTCCAATACAATGAACTTCAAAAAAGTTACCACTAGATGGGGTCAAAACACTGGCTTCAAATATTTTCACTTGCCCAATTTGAAACCACAAAAGTGGCACTACAGGCAACTCTAGTTAAAATATGTGACACCTTTGTAAGCATGCACCTTACGTTTGCTTAACCATGCATGTTGCCATTTTTTGTCTTTGAATAAGCATGTTACATTTAGTACTAGCTATATGATAAAAAGAATAGTTTGTTGGCAGTTCATTATAAGAATTTCAATTGCATATATGAAGTTTTCAGAAATATTCCTATAAAATGATCCACTAATCGCGGTTGCAACGCTTTACTGGCTAAATCTTATCCAGAAAACTCCACAGAAAATAAAAATGTTGTTGCACTTTTATTTTTTAATTTATTACATACAGGAACATCAATTTACACAGTGTTTTACATGGTACACATTCACATCAGTCCCTGCTCTCAAGGAGAGTTCAAATCTGAGGTTGCTATTATAAACATACTAAAGCTGGCCATAAACCATTAGAATTCCTTTTAAAAACCATTGTTTTTGAAACGTTCATTTGATTTTCTAACAGTTAATGAGGTCAAATCGATCATGGATTTAAACCATAGTGGCGGGGGAAAAAAATCAAAAGAACAGCATTAAACTTTTTGTCTTTGAATTTCTAACAGTTAATGTAGTTTTTGTTTGAGGTATGCTATTCCCATAATCAAATGTTAAAGTCCAATTAAATTTGAACTGACATTTGTCAAGTCTCTGATGGAGTTCTGACAAGATTTTTTAATATGAACGTTCCATCGAAAATCTATGTGCATCACAGCCAATAACCTACCATAATGCCCTTGGCTTGTGGAAGGAAACTAGAGTACCCTGGAAGAAATCCACTTAAACACAAGGAGAATATGCAAACTCCATGTACATAGTGTCCTGGTTGGGATTTCAACCAAGAACACCAGTGCTGCAAGGCAGAAGAGGTTTTTTTTTTCTAAAGGATAGATCTTCACAGTGTATAGTATGAATACTGACTACAAGTTCCCAATTCTTAAGAGCTTTTTAGAAAACTTACGCTTGCACACATGGGGGTTGTTTTCATCAGCTTCCCTCCAGGGCAGGTCATTGTAGAGGTCAGCACAACGTTCACAGTTTGTTCCAGCAGTGTTATGTTGGCATACGCATGTATCATGTACCTGAAGCAAAAGATATATTAATTTGCAAGTTGTCTGAAGACCAAATACAGAGCATACATACAGAGCCATAGCAATAACATGGTTAATTGGTAATTTATATCACAAATGAGCGCTTTAATTCTATAGTGTTGCCAATAATGGAAATAAATAGTGTTGGATTCTTTAATACAAGCATGCAAATTAATAACATTGGGCAAACAATTTATTTCCTGTCCACAAACATGAAATGATAGCTTCCTTCAATGCAGCTGTCACTTCTGGACATGTAGGAGACCAAGGAGACCAAGAGGAACATGCTATAAAAAGGAAACAGGCAATACAATCATCAGAACTATAAAATGCCATTGGGTTCAGGCAACATTTCAGGACTGAACACTAGTGTCTCCAACACAGCACCCTAGCACAGGCATGAATGAAGTGTCATGTAATTTTGTGTTTTCCTTAATATGTCAGACTTGGCCTCCGCAATGAAAACCACTGTAGGTCCCAATGGAGACTCAGTGCTTTCACAATCTGGGGAGGAATTTAACCAGTGAGCAAAGCGCAAATCAAGACATTTTGGCATATGTTTTATTCCAGAGCTATGAGCATTGCATTAAGCAATATGTTTCATTATTTTTGGTTAAATGTTGACATTACTTTTCTGGTTAATTGTGTATTGTTCTGAAAAGTATAGATGTTAAATTAGTGTACCTGAATGTCACCATATGGATCTCTTTCTGGCAGAACACCGGGTACACATCGGTCTCCATGGCCGTAACAGAAGCAGCTGCCATGAATACGCATCTCATCTATTGCATAGAATGCACTGGGTTCCCGGTATTTTTGGGGTGGCAGGTGTGTCAGCTGAGTGAAATTAATACGCAGGTTGGTGAACTCTCCAAGTTCTGAAATTAGAATACATTAGAAATTTTACTAGAGTCACATTTTCTTACTAGCAAGTGTGCCCATAGTGCCTAGAGTGTAGTGTCCAAATGATGGGGGACAGAGGAAAACAATGAGCTGTTGGTAAAAAAAGTGAGTGAGGGGCTCTGTAACCAGAGGGGGTGAAGTTGGTGGCTGAGGGGTGCTGTGAGGTGGGTGTTAGGTGCTGTGGTGGTGGTTTGATTTGTGTCATAGATGTTTTGGCAGAGGGGGATGAAGTGACTGGCAGATATGTTGACTGGTGGGTGATGGTACTGTAAGGTGGGCACTATGAGCATATGACCAGGTTGGTGTGGTAAGTTGGTAAAGGCATTGTGAGGTGGGGGGATGTAGACACTGTAGCAGACCAGGGGGTGAGGTTGGTAGGAGGTGCGGTAGGGGAGAGGTGAGTTGGGTGGCATGCGGTTTGACCACGGGGGTGAAATGGGTGGGAGACGCTTTGATGAGAGAGGGAAGTATAGTGAGGTGAGATATGAGTGAAGTGGTATGCACTTTGCTGCTAAAGTGTGGGACAGGTGTTCTATGTGCTCAATGCTGTTTAGTTGCTGGGGCTACTTTCTGCAAGCTGCCTAAATGGAAGTGTGCTGACAGGATTGCAGAGCTTTCAATATACCAATATACCACCAATATATCACTGCCAGCAGCATTGGGTCAGATGGGCTCTGACCAATGCTAGATTGGGGGTGAAGGGCACTGGTTCTGAGCTCACCATCCACTTATCAGATCCCAGAACCTCAGCTTCTCCATGTGTGCTAGAGGAAGAAGGGGGATCTTTAGGATGTGTTGCGGTAAAGGTCCTGGCTCTGAGCAGCAGAAGTTCTGAGACCAGGGCATACTGCAGCATGTCTGTATGTGGAGTGACTACATGGCAGTCCATGGAGAAGCTGCCACTGCTCCGCTCTGCACATTCACCTGCTGGTTTCAAGTAGGCCAGGATCCAACTCAGCTTAGCAGCCGGCAGGAATGGCGCCATGTTTGTGTGTGGGGTGATGAGGTGGAGGGGTTTGGTAATATGTTGGGAGAGATGTGTGTTAGGGTGTGTGGTAAGGAGGGCAGGAAGGCCAGAAGAAGGGCTGAGTGTGAGGGAAGAGGAGGGCTTACTTTCAAGGCACTGTGTTGCACTGTGTCCTACTGACGTTTTGCCACTGGGGGACTGGAAACAGTGGTGCAGTGTTACATGTGCCTCTCTTTCCCCTATGTTACATGGGCCCTTGTTTCTACTCCCACAATAGCAAGCCAGAAGTAGTACCTTTTCTTTTTTTTTTTTATAAAGGACACCTATCATACTATGCAACTATACATGTAAAAGTATTACATTTATATATCAAGGTTTCAAAAATAACAGAGAAAAACATGCATTTATTTGGGCTTATGCATCAAAGCGGAGAGCAAAGATGAAGTACAGTAAGCCATAACAATAATACTTCAGTTTACTAAAACCTAATCAGCGAATGATAAATTCTGATTAAATGGGTTAGAGTATTCTACATGTAGATTTTACAGTATAATGTCTTATTACACGAATATATACTGTATATTTTGTGCTACTGAAATATTTAAGAGCATTTAAAGGGCCAGTAAGTGCAAAGCTGATATTTCATTTGTAGGTGTACTCTGGAGGGGTGAGTCTTACACTCTCTTGTTTCACCTCTTAAGGGTGCAGCATTCTATTGTTACCACACAGTCTCACTTATCCTGCTATAAAACTGATGCCTCTCTTCTTTATTTTTAATTCTTTATGAATCTAACATGGATGGCCTGTAATTGTTGGTGTACAGATGTGGGAACTTGGATACTCAATCACAAGAGAACAGAATGTTTACGCTTTCAATATTTTAAATAGGCAAATAAATGCATACAAAAGTCAAACTCCCATCTGCCTCCTGCACTTCACTATTTCTCAGTGAAGCTTCCTATCACATTTGTTGACTAATAATGAGATCTGAGAGGTAACAAGGGGTGGACCTTTAGTTTTCTTCATCAAGTGAACTTCATGGCTTCTATGGTCCTCTGAAAGAGGTTGAAGGGTATGTACAGGTACCACAGCATCCCCAAATTTTATAAAAATGGCCCCTTAAAGTTATTAGATATGATAGGCTTACTTTAGATTTCTTCTAGATGGGGTGGTAAGCTTAGTGAAAGTTGCTAGCAAAAATAACAGAACAGATCTCGCACCAGTGTACAATTGGTCAAAGCGTTAACAGTCGCTTAAGGTCACACTGAACTAATCTGCCCACTTTACATCATTTTAGGAAAGGAACAGTTTACCTTTACTTTCTATTAGCAAATATTCCAGATCATACATTATGTGTTTGCTAGCTTTTTAAAATATTATACATCATTCTAAAAGTCATTACAGGACATAACAGTGTTTGATCTTCACAAATTAGGCTTTTCACTGGCTTTTTTGTATTTTACAAATGTAACACTAAAATTCATTATAATATGAAAGGGTTCTTACGGTGAATTTGTTGACTTTTCGATACAGGAACTGTAAAGGCCATTGCCATTGGGCTAAAGCTTATCTAAAACAGAAAATTAAAGAATCTATTAAAAACATAACTGCCATACACTATTCACAATCTGTGCCAAAAAAAAGAGAAGTAACATGTGTTAAATATCATTAATGGAATCTGAGCTTTCCTGCTGTGGGAAAAAGAACAAATATGACATCTTACCAAAATGTGTTCAAGTAGTTGTTCATATATAGTTTGTAGGTAAAACTTAAACAAAAACATATCTGGATGAACAAAACAAATCATGAAGCAACAACTACAAAAAAATATTGTTTGATGGGCACAGTAAGAGCAAAAATTGCTGTGGTCTCCAAGAAGAAAGCCAATACGTGGAATGAGGCTTGCGCTGCCCTCTTTTTCTCACACAACAACAGTTGCTAACGTGTTTCCCACATATGCTTATATGGCTTCTGTTTCCATTTTCAGCAGTCATTTAGTAGCCAAAGAGACTTGAGCTATGCAACTCTATGAGCATGTTTAGTGCATGATGCCAAATAAAATGGCAGACGCCATGACATCAAACTAGCACCATGCTTTAAACTTTTATGTTCAGTTTAGTTATTTAATTTATATTTGAGAATATTGTATAATCCATTTCCCCTTACATTAGTGATCATTTAAATATGGAAATCTGGATTAAGCCACACATCTCAAGCCACTAATATACTGTATATGGTTCCACAGGACCAAAACATCAAATCAAATCTTCCTAAAATAAACCCACGTAGTGGATGGACAATGTCTGCTGATTCCCATTTAATACCTGCTAATAGAAAAGAGGAAAGCAAATAGCACTGTGCAGTTCTTTTGACTTGGCAATAAAAAGTAGCTTTATGTGTGAGGTAAGAAAGAGTCTCCCAAAAGTTTGCTCCATTATGGGTACAAACTATAGTGTTCAGTAACATTAATTTCAATCCATTCCTTACTTATCAACTCTTTTATGTATATTACTAATGATAACTAATGACATACCTGTGTTAAACCTGATGAACATTTGCTGCAAGTCAACAATTTTACTTTGTATATAGTAGATTGTCTCATACAAAACTTCCCATAGGTATATTGCTGCTTGAGTAATGGGTTAATGTTTTTTTTTTTTAAATGTCAACCCAACATACAAATTAAATTTCCGGTAACTCATAAAATAGGAGTTTTAATTTTTGTGAGATACTTCCTATGGCTTTTTTTGTAAAATACTTCCTGTGGCTTATACACTTCTTGAGAAGCTGATAGCTTTTATAATATTAATGCTAAGATTGTGCCAAGTGGCTGTAATAAAGGCTGTACTAAAGCCCCTTTGCAAACCCTGGTGCAATACTACCAAACCCTATCTAACACCAAAAACCAGAAGATATGTTTTCTGCACTGGGCATTTGGGTACAAAGCTTTTGATATGGAAAACAACTAAACACCCAGACATCCCCATACATGTGTCACTTATTACCACCCAGACTACTTCCTGATTGTTTCAGTTATTGGTATTTCACATTATTACTGCAAAAACCATCATGAAATAAGTGCTTATCTAGGTAGCATATTTTCTTTGTCAATTCTTTCCTACTAATGATACTATACAGAATCCTAGACATAAATATAGTTCATATGTCCCTTCATTTTCAGATTTATAGCTGCTGAGGTTTACCTTGCCCCCATGAGTTGGGTTGCCATACAGCTCCTGGCAGCGCACATCCTTTAGGTGTTGGGGGCGGCCTTGTTTGATGTATGGAAAAGCAATGGCACAATCATATGCTAAATACTGATACACCTGCCATGTTCTGCCAAAGTCTGAAGATCGCTCTATTAACATGCCAGCTGGTCGGGGGCTCTGTAAAATGAGAGTCAAATAAAGGAAGACATGTGAAAACAGTAAAGCATGACAATGCAAAAAAAATATTTCCATTCACATAATACTACAAGTTACTGTACATATAGAAGAAAAGTTCTGTCACTGCTCAAAAGCATGTTATCTGGAATCAGCTTCCATGTTTCAGTTATTCTCACCAACCATTCTTCATCTGCACCTTCTATTTCCTGTACTGTTTTTTAGAAAATAATAGTACCTCTGTACATCTACATAGATTTAAAGAGCTCATACGCTTGGCATATAATCTAGCAAAATATACTACAGCTATTTCAAATCCAGAGAGGTCCAGGAACTTGAGGTTCAACTATGTAACTATGTGACCCCACTGTCACTGATTAAAATCTTAAACTTGCAATGCACTGCTCAAATCTCTTTGACAAAAGATCATTTTTATAATCAACTTTTGTTGAAGGAGTAGGTCCAAAAAATCTCAGCCACACACTAACTGCAGCCAATCAGGCACAGTCACTTTTCAGGTATTCTGACAGCGGCACATCTGCCACTGTCAAAATACAATAGCCTGGGGGGGGGGGGGGT